TATATGTGCCGGAATATTTGGTAAAAAAAAAAAGTTGCCAGAATATTTAATCGGAAAAGTTATCGAAACTTTTGTGCTCACTGAAATATGCTCGATATAAAATCGTTTTAGTTAAAGTATGTAGTAAGAGTACATTTGTTTTTTTCTACGCCAAAATGACTATCATTTTTTTTTTCTCTAACATCGTTGTGGTTCATTTTTGCTTTTATTAAATGGCTAAAAAAACCTAGGCACTGTATTTCAAACGTTTATTGTGATACGATGAACGTCTTCAGTTTCGCTTTGCGGCACAATATTAATCTGCCGAGAATTGAACAGTCCTTCGTCATCCGGGTGGCTGATTGTCGCTTCATATTCGCCATGATAAAACGAGTCCTCGTAAAATCCGTCAGAATCAGTAGTTCCGGGGTAATGATCATTCTCGGCCAACTGGCCTCTGAACCTGTCTACCACATCACCGGTGGCTAAATTTTTAAAGTTACCGTCCGTGAGACACATTGCATAGCATCCCTGCGGACTCCGGGCAACCCAAAGTATTATGCCTTGCACGGCCGGGTGTGAATGAATCTCATGCATAACCTGATCCAAGTATGATGCCTACACAAGTAATGCAATCATAAATAATTATTGTTAGTATTAATTGTTGACACTACTAAAATGGGAAAGGATGATATAAAAGTTTTACCTGGTTGGGCCCAGACGTAACGTCCAACTCGGTAACCCAAATCGGGAGCCTAGCGGACGCTAGCGCATCGATAGCGGACCGTGTATAGGGCAGATTGGGAGTCGAGAAATGGCCCTGCAGCCCAATACCCAGCGGCCCATTATATCCCTGGGCCCTGAACTCCCTAATTTTCGCCAAATACTTGGCCGGCGACGAAGCCCCATCCCGGCTGTCCTCGATCGTATTGTATTCGTTCAGAAACGGCGTCGCCCGGCCGTCGATCCTGTTCGCCGATGAATAGAACTGCCGAGAAGCCTGATTCCCCAATTTGCTCTCGAAGAAATTGTTGTGCAGATTCTCGTTCATGACGTCCCAGTGGATGAGCTGCCCCTTGTACCGGCCCACGACCGAATTTACCCTCTTGGTGGCGGCGGCCCGGAGGTCGGCCGGAGACAGACCGCCGACCCAGCCCGGTTGGTACTTAGGGTCGGCCCAGAGCACGTTGTGGCCGCGGATGGCGACGCCGCGGGACTGGAGAATGCGGACGAGGGCGTCGGAGGTGGAGTAGTCCTCGGAGCCCCGGGAAGGCTCGTTGGAGACCCACTTGAGCTCGTTCTCGAAGACGGTGTGTTTGAATCGGGAGAAGAACCAGCTTTGGTAGGGGGCGTTGTTGAGGAAGTAGTTGTTGATGGCGACGCCAAGAGGGAATCCGCCGCGGGTCTGCTTTAGGGACACGGTGGCGTTGGGGATGGGTCGGCCGTGCTGGTCCAGTGCCTGCAATTTTACCCTCCCTTTGCGTGCCTGCAGTTGGTTTTAGTTACCAATTTAATTGATGTTCTAATTATAGTCCCACATCGAAAATAGTATTTTTATTCACCTTTTGAAGGCTCTCTCTTTGGTGAGATATCCACTCTTCCTGAGTAAATGGCTGCAACGAAATGCTATCCGCCCATATATCAACTTCTGCGTTTTGGCTCTGACAACAATAGTTTTGTTAAAATGTAAAATACTATTATATAAATAAAAATAAAATATGCTACGGTTCCTGACTGAACCATCCTGTCGGGTTCGTAACTATTAGATCAACTATCCACGACGGTTACATAATGATCTCACGGCTACAAACTCAGACGGAATGGTTCCATAACAGAACCGTAGTATTTCCCAAAAATAATTGTAGTTGAGTCATAAATGTGGAAAATATTACGGTCCCGTTGCGGAAACCATTAGATTATCATGTAACAATAAAAAATAATCGATCTAACGGTTACAAATTCCGATGAGATGGTTCCGTAACAGACCGTAGCATCTACCCATAAATGTTATAACTTTTAAAAAAATAAAAAGTGGGAAACCTCAAAATAAAGTTGGACTGGGCCGGATTCATTGACGGTTAAGCCACCCTTCAAAAAGGACCAACAACCTTTTTGGGCCGTGACCCAACCAGCTACCACATAACTCGTCTTGCTCTTGAAAACTGCTGCTATATCGGCTTCTCCATTGCTTACTTGTAGCCAAGCTGCAATAGATTGGTTCAATTTTTTTTATTTTTTATTTTTTTTTTATCAAAAAAAAATTAGCATCATGTTAAAATAAATAGTAATAAAAGTTTTTATTTTATTTTATTTTATTTTTCGTTACTTCTTAAAAAAAGGGTCATTAATTTTAGTGTCTTACAATATTCATATTTGTGGAAGATGATGAAAAACATTATATTGAAAAGGAATCGTTGTAATTAATTACCCGAGAAAGTGTATAGTTTGTCGTTCTCCAGATTAAAAGTTTGTGATAAACTGTGAAAAGATTCATTTCTTTTAGAAGCAACAACGTATTTGTTGTCATCGTCAGATTGTCGTCGATGTTCAATATTTATATCTCCAAATTGTGTCCAACCCTTCAAACCCTCGTTGAATTCTGGGTTCACAACTATTCCTCCATCATATTGAGACCTTAGAGGTGTTGCCAAACACTGAAAAATAAGAAAAAAAAAAAAAATAACTAAGTTAATTAATTAAAATGCTCCAAAAACAAAGTTAATTTTTACAAATAAGTGTTACCATAGTGCCCGTGTTAGTCATGTCTATGAGCTAAATAGTAATAAATGTCCATAAATGTGCATAGTAAAATGTTATACGCTACAAGAAAACACTTCAATTTCAACGAAAAATTTCAACGGCAAAAATTTCCGTTGGAAATTCCAATGAATATTCCAACAAACTTAGTTTTATGTTGGAATAAGTGTTGGATGGTTGAAGAATTTCAACGGATTTTTTCCGTTGGAATCGCTACAGGAATTTATTTCCATAGGATTTTCCGTTGGATTTTAGCTATTCTAACGCCCGTTTTTCGCACGAATTTTTATATGTAGGAATATCCGTTGGAATAGTTATTCCAACGGATAATATAAAAAATTCCGACGGAAAATTTCTGTTGAAATGTAAGAGTGTTTTTTGTAGTGTACTTTAAAATATAATATAAATAAAAGTATCTTATATTTTATTATGTAAGTTTTATTTTTGTTAAAAAAATATGACTGATCGATCCACATAACAGCTGCTATACGAAGTTCGTAGACTTGCCTCATCTGTAAATGAGTAGTCATAAGGCACCGCATTGGCATGAAAACCTGAGATGCACATAAATAGTGTAATTTACTGTATATCATTCTTTACAAAATAAATAATCATATATATAGCTTCATATATATTATTTGCAAGGAGAGGAGAGGAAGATATATTACCAAATAGGAGATGTTGAACGAAAACGAACAACACAAGAGAATAGAATAGCTTTGTCATTGTTAATTGTGATGGTATTGTTCTAACAAAAGAGGTCCCATTTATATAGGATTAATGCACCCAAAAATCTTGATACATAGACTCACAAAATACTAGGATTGTAAAAATTTTTATGAATTTTTTCAAATATTACCAAGTACTAACCATAGGTGAAATGTATTGTATATAATTATGTATATTCTATATATTGTATTAAATGGATGCAATCATGATAGTATTTACCAATATTTGTTATTCGTGCAATTATGTATACTGAGTGAGTATCATGTGCGATGCATGGTGGACTTGTTTCTTATTCTTTTAAAACTTTATTTAAACAATACAATAACTCGCTAATCGTTTATAGTAATATAAATAATATTAAAAAATCTATATTTATTTTTTGATATAGAAAAAAATGATAATTTACTTATTTTTGTTCATCATAATACTCAACTATTATTTTTTTTTTCTAAAATTATTGTTATATAATGTCATTATTATTATTATTATTATTATTATTATTATTATTATTATTATTATTATTATTATTTACAAAAATTATAAAAGTAGTATTATATATGTATATATATAATGATAAATTTAATTTTCATTGATATCATTTATTTGTGTAATTAATTTAATAATATTTAAACAAATTTAAAATAAATATTGTGCCATATATGCATTCTATTCATTTTTAGAATTTTTTCTATCTCGAAATAATTAAAAAAATAATATATATATATATATATATATATATATATAATTGTGTATGATGTTATTTTTAATATTGCATGGTGCTATCATTTTCACAAAATGTCAATAAAAATTTTATTACTATTTTTAGTAAAATACATCCTAGTTAAAAATAGCACTAAAACACAATCATTCATAACACTACATACAACTAAAAATAGTAGTTCTCACAGTTCTCACGCTAGGAGTTGATTCTCATTGAACCACATCATATATATATATATATATATATATATATATATATATATATATATTATGACATTATTAAATATGTTAAGCCCAAAAATAAAATTAGTGATTAGGCAGTATTATCGGTGAATTTTGTGATAGAAGTTTTTTTAGACGATTGAATTTTATGATAGAAGATATAACCTCATATGTTGCGTTTGATTTATTTGCAATCCATTAACTATTTAGGATTGTTAATGTAACGAAAATAATGGAAAGAATCTAAATTTTAAAAAGGTATTGAACTCAGATAAATTTCGACAACCAATTGCATGTGATTTTTCTAAAAACTTAACTAAATCTCGTGCGATTGTATAGTCTAAAATTTATGAGAGTTTATTAGACAAATGATTTAAACAGTCCATGTAAATTAGATTCTTTCCAAACTATCAGAAGGTATAAAAAAAGGCTAACAAAATTACACAAGATTGTGTAGTAGGGATTTTTTAAAAATAATATGTATTAATCCTAAACAAACATGAGTAGTTAGATAGTACTATTGGTGGATTTTATGATAGAAAAATTCTATTTAGGGTATTGAAATTTATGATAAAAGATATATATCCTCAAGATATTGTGTTTGATTTTTTAAAAATAAATTAACAATTTACAATTTCTAGTGTACAAAAAATAATAGAAAAAATACAAATTTTAAAAAGGTGGTGTTTCCGTGTAATTTCTCGAAAAAACAACAAAATTTAAGTTGGAATTTTTCAAAATATTATCTGAAAAATAATTTAAACAATCCATATTAATATAGGTTCTTTCCAAACTCTAATAAGGTTTTGTAGTTAAATGTATGAATAATTATTTGATTTTGTTGGAAAAAAATTGTTTCATCAATTAGATAAGCGGAATTTTTCCAAAAAAAAAAAAAAAAGTTAGTCAATATGAATCGCTATCTAAATTTTAAAATAAATTTTATTTATAATTTTTTACCATAATTAGTTATATATAATACCAATAGCAAAAAATTAATTATCATATACATTAGACAATTAATATGCACATCCATAAACAAATATTAAGCATATTAAATAAACAATGACAATAAGCGTATGAAAATTATTATGTAGTAATAAGTTTATGACATAAAAATATTTACTTGGTTTTAAATTTTTAGTTACAAGTTGTCATATAAATGCAAAAAATTAAAAATTAAAATAGACTAAATTAATAAAAAAATCAAATCCAGTAGGTATAGTATAATATTTCAAAAATCTTATGCAAATTATCAATATTCATATTTATTATTATTATTATTATTATTATTATTATTATTATTATTATTATTATTATTATTATTACCATTATTATTATTATTATTATTATTATTATTATTATTATTAATTTGTATTGGCTTTTCATTCAATATATATTTGTACGTATAAGCTGTTAGCCATGATGTTTGGATTGCGGGATCATTTCCCGTTAAATCACTAAGTTATTTGATATATATTTATGTCAGGATTAGTAAAATATACTTCATACATTATCTCTACCAATAATATAGTGAACGAAATTAAATAAGATATTCATTTGATTTTCCTACAATTATGGTAATAAATATCCATGGTCAATGTTAATATCCGACCTGGCAGATACATACTCAAGTGATGTGGCATCATATCAATTAACGATTTCCAAGCAGTGAATAAACTCCACAAGATTAAACCAGACTTTTCCTCCATTTTATCATACAACACGGACCGTGACAAGATCCAGACCAAGGCTTCCGACCACCTTATTTAGAGGTTGGAGTGTGGATAATGGCCGATATCGATTGCCATTGATGATATTACAAACAAACACAAAATAGGTAATAGAGTCTGAGGTCAAAAACCGATGCAGCAGCAAAATGAAGTTCTGTATTCAATGTGTAACCCTATAAAGGGAAATATAATGGCTTAAATACAATGATTCAAGATAGATGAGAGCCCTTAGATGAAGATCAATGGCTGAGAAAATAAATCAAGAACAAGACAAAATTTATCTAAATGTAGCTAAGCCACATGTGCATGGGAAGCCATGCATACGTCTAAAAGAAGCAATAATAAAGACTTGGTCTTTAAGATGGCTATGCTATTATGCCCCCTTCAATTCGAAGGAGGGTTTGGTTTTTACTTGTAATTTGTCTCGAAGCCGACTGAAGAATTGACCGGACAAAGGCTTAGTGAATATATCCGCAAGTTGATGCAAAGCAGGGATATGATGAACAGAAATTGTGTGGAGATGAACCTATTCTCGAATAAAATGGAGATCAATTGCAGCATGCTTAGTTTTAGAGTGATGCACTTGATTTGCTGAGAGAAGAACAGATCCTAGGTTATCAACCCAAACTGTAGTTGGGTGAAGTTGAGGAAGATTCAATTCAGATAACAATGATCGAAGCCAAATAACATCACAAGTGGCTGCAGCAAGGCTTCTGCATTCAGCTTCTGTACTTGAGCGAGCAATAGTCTTTTGTTTCTTGCTGCTCCAAGAAATGAGATTACTACCAAGAAATATGCAAAAGCCTGAAGTGGATCGTCTATCATCGAGATTAGTGGCCCAGTCAGAATCTGCATATGCAATGAGCTGTAGAGAAGGAGACTTAAAGATGTGAAGACCTGAAGTGATGGAGCCACTAAGATATCTCAAGAGCCTTTTAAGTGCCTTCCAATGTGTATGAAGTGGATTTTGCATGTACTGACTGCACTTGTTAACTGAATAAGAAATCTCAGGTCTTGTAATGGTGGGATACTGTAAAGCACCAATAAGTTGCCTGTATAATGTCCCATTTTCAATAGGCTGCCCTTAATGCTTAGAAAGGCCAGGTGAAGAGATCATAGGGGTACTGAGGGCTTTACAGTTGCTCATGCCAGCCCTTTTTAGAATGTTTTTGATGTAGGCAGACTGGCTAAGGAAAAGACGATTAGAGGT